CACATTCCTATAAAAAGTTATTCCAGTTTTTCTTGGGTCAAACTCAGTTGGGATATAATTAAACAGTACTGTATTTTAGTATATACAGTACTGTTTATTTGTTTGTTGTATGTAATGTAGTATGTTGGGGCATGGTCAAGGTGTGGAGCCTTATAATGTTTTACGTTCTTCAAGTGCTAAGTATTGTTTATGTGAGCCTGTAGACATTTACTCACTCTGTCTATATGTCTACAGGAATTGCAATAAGTCAGGACAAGCATGCATGCCTGATTTATGAAAAGGATTTATGATAGATCCAGTGCAACCATAATGATGTACATGTACATGTATATACTTTTATGCTCTACATTCTTTTTATGGGCTTATTTTGTCAGGTTAATTAGTTTGGCCAAACAAAAAGAACATGCTATACAGTATTTTAATATTTTCCTCCTCCATACTGTATTTGTTCACACACACACACACACCAGGCTTGGGATCAATTACAATTATAATTGCAATTACAGCCTCAATTACAATTTCAGTGTGTACTGCGTAATTGCAATTGGGTTATACACATGTGTATGTGTTGTAATTGCATAATTGTGACTGTAATTGTGCCTATAATCCTACTTTGATATCCTATACCTATATCAGCCCTCTAGAGTGAACTTTCAGCATAGTAAGCCTGATTTATGTTCACTAATTAACAAAACTTATTAAAACTCAATGCAATGTGGTAACAAATCATTGTTTTTTGTCATGATATGGGTAAAATTAAGATCATTGTATAATTAATACTGTAATTACAAGCTATTGCCACTGTAATTGTAATTGAGTGTCTCATCTATGGCAGTAATTATAATTGTAATTGATCTGGCTTTAGTTGCTGTGGTAGTAATTGGACTCGCCACGCTTGTGTAGGTGGGTACTAAGACTAAGCAGTTGAGTTGTCATTCTGTCCACCAGACCTGGGGTCAATTACAATTGTAATTGTAATTGAAGGGTCAATTACAATTACAATTACGTAATTGTAATTGTAATTGAGCTTCAGCTTATGTAATTGAAGTTTCAAATATAATTGAGTTACCTAACTAGAATGTACAGCCTGCACAAAGAAATGTTCTTAATGTACTTTGGTATCTTTGGATGTTTTTGATACTGTAAAGTACCAAAATAACTTCTTTTTAACACACAGTGTAAGCACTGCAAAGTATGTTGTTACAATGCATCTACATCAAATTGTAATTGTAATTGAAAATGTAATTGAAATTACACTATCATGCATGGTGTAATTGTAATTGTAATTGAGTCTATTTTTACAAAAGGAGTGTAATTAAATGCGTAATTGTAATTGAGCTTTTGTAATTGACCCCAGGTCTACTGTCCACACATTTTAATTGATTTAAAAAAATATATACCCCCATATATTTTTGTCTGAGCAGTCTAGAGCTATATTTCTTCTTCTAGCAACAGATAAAGTTGCTTTCTTTCATCTAGTTATGCTCTTGTAGCATCCCATGGCACCAAACTTGACCAAAGCCTAGCTGGGAACTGTTAAACCACTAGGGGACCTCTCTCTAATTGATAGTCTCGCCCCGCCCCTTCACTAGCGAAGGGGCGGGGCGAGACTATCCAATTGAGAGCTCGTATTTCACTCTACAGAGCCGAGATTTGCTTCAGAGGTAGAAAATCCCATCAAACAAAAAACCAAAGGAACGATTTTGTCCTAACTTCTTTGTTTGTGAGTTACAGTTGCTCAAAGTTTGTGATTTAGCCTCTTTAAAATTTTCAGGCAGCACTAGGGAAAGCAGTAGCAACCAAACTCTCTTTTAAATATCTAGGCAACAGTTTTGTGCCAACTCTTTCTTTGAATAGAGCTTC